GGGCGGGGCGGCCCGCGCAGGGCCCCTCCTGCCCCGGGAGCACCCATTCCCCCATCAGGGTCAGGTGCACCGAGGGCGGGCGGCGCCCACAGCCCACGCAGGGGGTCGGGATGACCAAGCACAGGGGACTTCGGGGGGCTGGGACCCCCTTGGCCTTCTGCAGGGCCAGGCCGCGGGCAAGAGACAGGCGCTACTAACCCTTTTTGGCTTGGGTGTCACAAGTGCTTTGGGGAATTTAAATGAAAACGGTGGCTCGGCTCCTTGGAGGGGGTTGGCGGGGGGCGAGGGGGGGAGCGAATGGCCTTTACACAGACTCGGAAGAGGCTTGGAAGGATCCCCACCCCCACTTCCAGCCGAAGGGACGCCCTTGGGGTCTGCGGAATGGGGCTCTCCCAGAGCCACGGAGGCACCCCACTCCCCCCACCACCCCATTTTCGGGAAGGCGGGCCCTGCCCTCCAGTTAGCAAAGGAGGGACTGGTGCTCGGGGACAGGTGAGGGGCGTGCCCTCTGCAGGTCTCTTCCTCCGCCCAGATCCGGGCTGTGGCCACCAGTGCCCTCTGCTGCCAGGCAGGGGAGCTAGAGAGGCCCTGCCATGAGCCGGATCTCCTGGGAGGAGAGCTCAGGTCCTGGCATGCACCTCCGAAGGAACAGCACAGTGGAGCTGTATTTGAACAGAAGGAGGTGGAGAGCCTGGGGATTTGGGGCCCTGCACTCCTTATTTATGACCCAGAGAAGGTCTTCGCGTTCTTTCTCTGCTGCCCGTGGATGATGCTCCTGGGCCAGCTAGGCACACCTTTAGCGGACCCGCGCCAGGGGAGTGAGGGAGGTGTGGGACCAGCCTCTGCGGACCTGCCACAGCGCCTGCGCCACAGGGAGGGTCTCTGCCAGCAGCAGTGGGTAATAATCCTTTCACCAAGGATCCTTCCAATGTCTCCCCGGTGCACTCACTATCTGAAAGGTTTTCCTCCAGCAAATAACTTGCATTTATTTCTCTCCTCTTTACTAATCAGACACAGTGCCTGGTCAGGACGGGTCACCAGTGTGAGCCGCCAGAATTGCAGTTTCTCCCATTGACAGCAAGCATCTCTCTGTCTCTGGTCAATTGGTGTTTTGTTTGTGTGTGTGTGTGTGTGTGTGTGTGTGTGTGTGTTTTCAGCCTTTTGAGGTCCGAGGAGAGGTGCCGCCCCGCAGGGACCCACACTCCTGGGAGGATGGTGCGGATCTTGGCCAATGGGGAAATCGTGCAGGATGACGACCCCCGCGTGAGGACCACTGCCCCCCCACGCAACAGCACCCCTCGACAGGTGGGTGCCTCGCCCGTGGAAGGGGAGCAGCTATCCTCTGCCTTCTGGACCAGTTACTCCTTAGCTCACTGGTCATTAACGTCTAAAGCTCTCTTTGCAGAGAGCTGAGCTGGATGGGGAGGGGTGGTGGTCAAAACTTGGTGAAAACCCGCGGTAGATGGATTGCCCAGCCCCTTGCCTCCCTAGCTCTTCCTCCTGCTGGCAGCTTTCCCAGACTTCAAACCCAAGAACTCTCCCTTCTTTAAGCCGGTTAGCAAACTCCACTGGAACCGGCATCTTTCTTGAGAGTCTACTGGGTGAGAGGGAAGCTGGAGAGTAAGCGGAGGAGAGGAGCCTGTGGCCACCCAATGTTGACTTCAAAGGAAGAGTGAGGAGAGTTAAACACGCCTGTCTGAGTGCTCGGCCCAGTAGTCTAACCCGCCTTGACCCCTTTCTCTCTCCTCTGTCCTGGGCACCTTCTTCCTGGCACCACATGGGCAATGCACTTTCTGTGCCCTGAGAGCTTGTGACTCACTCGCTGGAATTCCTGTGGGTGGCATCTGGGGATTGCTGAGGAAGGAGGGTGTGGCCCTGGGTGATGAGGGGAGGGCAGGGCCGGGCCCACAGGGTTCCCTTCTGCCCGGTCCTCTCCTCCAGAGAAGCTTTCTCTGGATTCACTCATTTTTCTCTGTCTTCACCTTCCAGAGCTTCCTCAACAGGGGCCATGGTGCCCCCCTGGGGGGTCCCGGCCTCCGGCAGCAGCAGGGGGGAGCCAGGCTGGGCGCTGCTCAGTCCCCCTTCAATGACCTCAACCGGCAGCTGGTGAACATGGGCTTCCCCCAGTGGCATCTCGGCAACCACGCCGTGGAGCCGGTGACCTCCATCCTGCTGCTCTTCCTGCTCATGATGCTCGGCGTGCGTGGGCTCCTGCTGGTGGGCCTCGTCTACCTGGTGTCCCACCTGAGTCAGCGGTGACCTCTGCCGGGGGCAGGCGTGGGGAGAGGGAGTTGCCGGGCCTCGGTGTGAGAACAGGCACATGGGGAGGGGAACCTTGTGGTGCCTTGAAGGTGTGCCCGGAGAATGCTGTTTCCACGCGGTGTTCCCATGATGCTGAGGGAACCTCTAGTCCAGCAGTCCCAGCGTATCGGTGGATGCCCTCACCCCCCTGCGATGTTTGTCGGTAGTATCGGGCCTGCATTAAGCACAAAGAGCAAGAACAGGATGCCCTTCCCATTGTCTTGCAATCCTCTTATGCCAGGGAGACGGCCCCAGCTTGGTGCCAACATGTTCTCATGCCTCTGGACCCCGTGCTGACTTCCCCTGTAAGTTGGGAACAGGCCGGGGGCTTAGGGCAGGTGGGAAAAGTTTCCCAACTTTTATAGCCCTGCTTTTGTTGGCTACCTGTGTATGACAGGTGGTACCGGCATTCTATTTATTGTGGTGGCATTTTCAATAAATGAATTTAGTAAACATGTGTCCACGGAGAGACATTCATGCATGACGGCACAGCTGTGCGTAGATCTGGAAGATGTGGTGAAGGTGGTTGGGCATGGCTGGGACTGCGGGACGGTAGAAGGCGGCATTTGATCTTGGAAGGTGGTTCATTACTTTTTTCCTAGGCTCCAGGACCTGGGCGGTGTCTGGGTCAAGCCTGGGTCAGGCCTCTTGTCTGATGCTTAGGTAACACCTAGACTCGCTCTGAAATGCCGGCCAGGATGGCTGCTGCGCGGTGGGTTCAGGCTAGCCGGAGCGCAGGTCTCCCGGTCCAGGGGCTCCGACCAGAGGCTTCCGAGCCTCCCTGCCCACACTGTCCATGGGAAGCGGGGCCTTGGCGCTGCTACCAGTGCGTGTGCCGTGAAAGCGCCTGCTTTTCCTGGGGGAGGCTTTGCGTGTGGCTGGTGGGCCTGGGTCTGCAGGTTGGCGATGTGGGGATGGCGTTGGGTGGCTGAGGGTCCTAGGCCCTGAATGGGCTGAGGGGTAAAGGTCAGAGAGAAACTGGATGAACTCGAGGACTTACCCCAACCAGAGACCAGACCTTGCATCCTCTCCTTAGGATCCTGTGGGGTTTGGCAGTTTGGGGGAGAAAGGCAGCCTTTGGGGGTGATTCTCCAAGGCCAGTGCTGGGAGGGCCACCATGGGATGTGTGGGAGGGGAGGATGGGGGGGAGAGTGAGAGGGATTCTGTTCTTCCTCCGACAGCCTGCCATGCTGCCCAGAACAGAACCGGCTCCTCCAGGCCCCGTGACGCCGCTGCCCTTGCGGGGGCCGTGGCCTTCATCGCAGACATTCCTGGGGAGCTTTGTGGTGTTGGAACAGGACTCCTTTCTCAGCGTTTTCTGTGTCTATTTCCCAGAGGCGGTTGAAACGCGTTCCCTTTATGATGGCCATGTGGAGGGGAGAGCGCTGGGCCCTGGCTGGGCAGCACACACACAGGGAAGGACGATGCTGTCTCTCTGGCTCCTCCGGGGCCTGGACGAGGGAAGTGGTGCCCAGCCCTGGCTGATGTCCAGCTGTTCCCAGTGCATCTCCTACCCTGGCACCTCTGCCCCTCACCCAGCAGCTGCTGGGGTGCGAGTGGGGAGGGATGTCCCCACTCAGCATCTCCCGCCCCTGAAACTCCCCCTTCAGGTTGTCTCTGGCTGGGTTTTCCCCTTGCAAAGCTGTGGTACTCTCGGAAGAAATAAATCTTAAAGTATGAATACCTTTGAGGGAGATGAATCTGAGCCCACGAGTGGAGGGCTGGGGACTGTCTTTTTCTAGAATTCCGTTTCCATTCTCAACGTCCAAGCCCTGGGAGAACTTCAGAGAAGGCAGGGGAGAGCAGGTTTCCCTCCTGCTCCTGGCGGGATGGGGATAGGGCAGGGGCAAAGCCTCACGCTGGCAGGCCTGGGAGGTGGGAGGGGCCCCAGGCAGGTGACCACAGGGCCAGAGGCCCCTCCCAGAGGCATGTGGGCCACCTCCGGGAAAGGGCCGGCTGGAAGGGAGCTGTGTGAGAAAGGAGCAGTGCTGTGTCTGGTCCTGTTTGCGGACTGAGTTCCCACACACAGGCTGATTCCAGCAGAGCTGCCCGGGTTCGGTGGGGCTGGGGGCCCAGGGACCCCACTGACCCTCTTTCCTTAACCCGCCCTCCCTTTCCCCCCCGGGGCTCTGGCATGGTTGGCCAACCTCTGCTCTGCCCCACGTTTCCAAGTCCAGGGTCTGAAAGCGCACTGGGCCTGCCTCACTGTAGACCAAGCATGTCAAACTCGGGCCTGCGGGCACATGCCTCATTTGTTTGACCTGTATTAGCCTTTGAGTTTGACATGCTTGCTGTCGGCAGAGGCAGCGTGGCAGAGGGAAGGTGCCCCCTGGGCGTGCCTCCTGTGTAAGCTGTAAGCATCTTCGCCTCCGGGTTGATGGCCCTTCAGTGGGACTCACCTGCGCATGCAGACATTCTGGTGCTGATGTGTTCGGAGCAGGTAAGAGGTCCTTTACTCCGATGGCTGAATGCGGACCTCGATGGGCCTCTGAGTGAGGCCGAGGGCCACTGTGGTCCAGACTCTATTCTTGGAGGGGGTGGGCTTTCCTCCTCTGTCCACCCCCTGCCCCACTCCACCCGCTGTGTGACAGGACCCCCCAGACTGGGCTGCCTCGAGGGCAGATTCTGGGGAGGTTTCTGCTAATCTCCAGGGCTAATCCTTGAAGCTCTGTGTCTCAGTGTCAGGTTGGATTTGCAGCCTGGCTGCCTCTGGGAGAGATGCCGCTACCCCTCCCTTCCATGTGAGCCACAGCGGGGTCCCCAGGCCTCTGCTGCCTCTCTGGGGCTGCCAAGGGGAGCCCCCGCTCCGAGGAGTTACTTGGACTCCCTGGTTGGGCCACCTGGGGAGGGAGCTGTGGGTGACTGTCCTGGGCCGCCAGAACCCCGCCTTTGGCAGAGGGAGGGGGTTGGCTTCCCTCAAGGGGGACCCTTGCTCTGTGAGTTGAGGAAGAAGCCTTGGTGTGGGGGGCAGAGCCTGGCCTGGCATTACCCCCACCCTGGCCAGCTGGGCCCCAGAGGAAGCCCACCTGTTTGCCGGCCCTGCTCTGCTCTGGGTCCATGACCTTGGCCGCTGGAGCCTGTTTCTCGGCTCTGAGAAGGGATGATGACCTGCGTCCCTCCTGCCTCTTGCCTCAGGGAACCGCCCTGGCCTGGTGGGTGAGAGGGACAGAGGGCACGGGAAGGAGGGGCTGCACCAGCCCCGCTCCTCCTCCACGGAGGCTGCACCTGGGACTGCAGCCACAGCGCCCAGGCCCTAGGAGTCCTGGCTGAGTGTTTGGCCATCGAGGAGAGCAACTCACATTTTGTTTAAATCCACTGTTGCTCCCTCCCAGCTGTCAGAGAAGAAAGGCAGCTGCGTCTCTGCTCCCAGAAGCCAAGGGGCTTGTTGAGAGTCGCAGTGTCAGGACAGGATAGATTCACCGAGGGTGTGTGTGCGCCTGACACTGGGCTAAGCACCTGACATCATTTCATTGTCACCAGCACTTTATTGATTATTTTTTTAAAATATATTTTTATTGATTTTTTAGAGAGGAAGGGACAGGGTTAGAGAGATAGAAACATGGATGAGAGAGAAACATTGATTGGCTGCCTCCTGCACACCCCCTACTGGGGATGGAGTCCTGACCAGGAATCGAACCAGTGACCTCCGGGTTCACAGGTTGATGCTCAACCACTGAGCCACACCGGCCGGGCATCACCAGCACTTTATGATTTAGGTACTGTCACTGTCCCCTTTCTTTCACTACTGAGCACACTGGAGAGCATTGGTAACTTGCTCCGGACCCTGAGCAGGCTGGGGTTGGAGCTGGGATTCAACTGAGGCCAAAGCCCATAAACTCCACCACTCCTGTTTCACCATTGGCTGCTGGTCAGAATCACCTACAGACTTGTTACAGGTGCAGATGCCCAGGCCTCACTGGATTCTCAGAGGTGCGGAGGGACATGGCCTGGGCTGGGCCTGCCTCTTACAAAGCCCTCCAGGTGACTTTGGTGGTGGTGGTGGTGGGGGGGCGGCTGGGGCATCGGGGGGCAGTTAGACACTGACTGCAGAGAGTACCTGTGGCCCACAGAGAAGAGGGCAGTTCATTCAGAGAAGAGGGAGATGGGGAGGGACCAGGCCTCACTACCTGCTGGGACCCATCGTGACCCTCAGGCCATCTCCATGACCCTCAGGTCATCTCTGTGAGGGCAGAGGGCACAGGGTGGGTGTGAGGAGGCTGCAGCTTTCCAGCTAGGTGGTCCCTACAGTGTGCCAGCTCTGGGCTGCAGTCACTGCCTCGGGTACAGCCCTCTTCCCTGCATTGCTGAACACATGCTGTTTTCATTGCGGACTGACAAGAGGAGAAATCCAGTGACCTCGCACAGGGTCCCTGAAGGGCTGTGCAGGGTGGCGCGGGTCGGGGTGGGGGCAGCACAGGGTGGAGACAAGCCTGCATCCTGTCCCACAGGGCATGCCAGTGGGAGACGGGAAGCTCAGCCCTCCAGTGCTGCGGCCCAGGCCCCAAGAGCAGCGAGGAGTGTTCCAGGAGTTGAGCACTTCAGTGGGATTGCAGAGGGGGGTGTATGTCTGTGTCTGACCCTCCGGTTCGGGGGGCGGGGGATGAGCTGAAACTCCCTGGCTTCAGGGACCCAGAACTTGGGAGGAAGGAGAGGAAGTTGTCCAAAATGAAGCCTGAGCCTTTAGGCTAAGGGCCTCTGTGCAGGGGGAGGCTGAGCACTGGGGAGGAAGAGGCAGGCCTGCACTCACGGGCCCCCAGCTTTAGTCCCTCCGGTATGTGTGTATGTGTCTGTGTTTGGGGAGGGTTGGGGGGCTGAGGGGGGTAAACTGCGGAGGCCAAATCCCAGATCCACCTCCAGTTAACCAGTGACCTTGGGCACAGTCCACACTCGCCCTCCCTCCATGTCCTCATCTGTGACTCACAGGGGCAGGAGGATCATGTATGTGAATTCATGGGCAGCACTTAGCAGTTTCTGGCACAAGCCTAGCACTTGATACCACAGTCACAAAGCAATGGCATTAGGTTTACGTATATATGTATTTTTAGAGCAACTCACAGTTTATTTAAATCTATTTTGAAAACGAAGCCTCATGTTACTATTGTAAACAAAAAGCCAACATTACTTGCCATTTATAAGAGATATTAGTACAAGTCCATGCCCTGGAGAGAAAAGAGCATGATTCCATCCAAGCTAGTCACTGCTGCTGGCCGAGGCTCTACGCCTGCTGCCTGCCTTCTTTCTTTACCAGGGTTTGGAGAGGTGAAGGCCCACTAGCATCTGACGGAGACATTCCTCGATGGGTTCAGGGGACTAGAGAGGAATGAAGAAGGGATGACTTTTTCACCATGTGATCCAGTGCGGCGTCTGGGAATCCTATATAATAAAAGGGTAATATGCAAATCAACCAAACAGTGGAATGACCAGTTGCTATGACGTGCCTTGACCACCAGGGGGCAGAC